AGGATGCCTGGCTGTGGGAACGAGATTAGAAAAACTAGAGAGAGAGAGCATTTCAGACAGCGAGCCAGAAGAAAGGTAGAAAACATTCAGACTTTTGCTTATAACAACAACAAGCCAAAGACAAATATTTTTTGTTAATTTTTTTTTTTTTTTGATTTTTTGAGACAGGGTTTCTCTGTAGCGTTGGAGCCCTGTCCTGGAACCAGCTCTTGTAGACCAGGTTGGCCTCAAACTCAAAGAGATCCACTTGCCTCTGCCTCTGGAGTGCTAGGATTAAAGGCATGCACCACCACCACCACCCAGCTATATTCTTTGTTATTGACTCAAAATTGTAGCAGTGGGCTGCTTGTTGGTTCCCGGCTGCTTAGCCCTGAAATAATCACACAGAAACCATATTATTTAAATCACTGCTTGGCTCATTAGCTCTAGCTTCTTATTGGCTAACTTTTACATATTTATTTAACCCATTTCTACTAATCCGTATATCACCACATGGCTGTGGCTTACCAGGTAAAATTCCCAGTGTCTGTCTCCAATGGCTCAATGGCTTCTCTCTGACTCTGCCCTTCTTTCTCCCAGCATACAGCCTAGCTTTCCCTCCAACTTCTGTTCTTCCCTGCCATAGGCTCAAAGCAGTTCTTTATTCATTAACAAAAAAAGCAACACATAGACAGAAGGACCTCCCACACCACAAATAAAACCTCTTAGGGGCAATAAATAAAAAAATGAAAATTTTATGGTTGTATATAAATGTTAAATCTAGAATACAAAGATCCTAAAAGATACTGGACAAGGATTTGGCTGAATATTAGTTTATTTTTCTCTTCTTTTTTTTTCTTTTGTCATATACTAAATGTATTTTGAAAAGCATAAAGGGAACACAGAAACATCTAGGGGTGTGATGAATTGTACAAGGGCATAGGATCTGGAGTAAGGCAAGTCTGGGTTCAAATCCTAGTTCTGCCTTCTTATTAACCTCTGTATAGCAACTTCCTCAGATTACAGAAAGGCAAATAATGCTTTCCCCTATGCAGAGGTCGCCAACAATTAGGAAGCTGATATAGGCAAAACATCTACCTGCATGCTACTCCATAACAGGTACTTCAGAATCTGGAATATTTTAATGTAGAGTACCAGAACTAAAAGCAAGAGCAAAGAATCTGGCCAAGGAGAGTGGGAGGGTCAGGGTGACCTCAGTCTGGGGAGTGTGTGGAAAACTGGCAGAAGAGCACACCGGAGAAAGGGGAAAGAATGCAGCCGCTGATTTTGATTCTGAGCATGAATCAGTCAGTGGTCAGCAGCTGGCTTCATATAGCAGGTCAAGGTCAAAGATAGCCCTGGCATACATGAAACCTTTCCTCCTTCAAAGATCAAAAGGGTATTTGTGATGATTCCTAGACATACGGTAAAAGAAAGAAAATCATACAGTTAGAATAATTCACCTCATGGGATGTTCAGTCTATATGTTTGCTGGGTTTGCAGCCTTGACGCTCATAGATTCCTGAAGGGGAACTTTGAGATTGTTTCAGCAGGCAATTTTGACCCCTCGCACCCAATTTTGTGACAATTTTAGTGCATAATTTTCTGGAAACTTCTTCTGTTGTTTTTCTTCTAATTCATCAAGAGTGTATAGAGCATATGTCACACCAAGTGATAAGAACTTTAATACAGCACTACTTCCATCAGCATTTCTGAGTATATAATTGAGTTGGGATCAGCCCATTGCTGTTTTGTTTTAAATAATTTGTTGAAAATTAGAAAGACTAGAAAAATAAGCTAGTATGTCAACAATGTAGCTTTATTTGTATGTTTATTTGTTTTTGTTTATTTCCTTAATCAGGTTCTCGTGTATCTCAGATTGGCCTCAAAAGTTCTATGTAGATAAAGATGACCTTGAAGCAGCTGAAGATGATTTTGAAATTCTGATATCTTACTTTCAACTGTAGAGTGTTAGGATTATGAGTGTTTACTACCAGACCAGTTTATGTGGTACTGGGGATAAAATCCAGGACATCTTGTATGGTAGGTGAGCACTCTACTGACACAGCTCCATACCTAGCCAAGGTCTCTTCTGATTCTTACTTTTTCCTCTCACTTATTATCTTATTCTTACTTTATCTTAAGAGATAAAATCTTTTCTTTATTTCAATACACAAATCTGAGGAATCATATGGCTCAGTGTGGAAAACATTTCATGATCATGAGAGGAAGCATCTTCAGACACTGTAATCTTCTTCTGCCATTATCTTTCATTCACTGTCATTATCCTGGGCAAACTATGTCTCGTCCTATCCCGTGGGCTCATAAATGTGCTTATTCAAATAAGCTTGAACAGTGTTTTCTGCTATTTTCAACCAAACACGTTCCAATGGGTCCTTACACTGTATTAAAAGGAAAGATGCCATGGAAAGCACATACACAAGAGCTTTAACCCTTTAAAGCCATGCCCATAGAGCTAAATAGCACATTTGTTTACCTCGTCTATAATAGTTGTAACATTTTCACTGTAGTAGGTATAGGGATGCCTTTGATTCCTTTATAATGTTAAGGGTATTAAAAACCATTACCATTTAAAAAGAAGTACACATACAGAAATTTAGAATGTGTATTGTGAGGTCTTTTTTATGTAGTGAACATGCTTTATGAAATTATAATCATTCAGAAAAATTGAGGAATACAGGAGTATAATTGGGAAGGTCTACAATGCAATAGCCCCAGCCTGCTGCAGAGGAGGCAGCTGGCTGCTTTGAGAAACTGACCTAAAGAGGTAACCCTTCTGTTTTGGCTCTTGTCAGGGTAATTATAACGTTTCCCTGACATGGCAACTGTATGATACATGTGTACTAACCCAGATGACACTTTGCCCTTGACTGTATACTCTACAAATCACAGCTCAGGACAAATCTTAAATTTTCTGCTGCATTATCTACTCTGGGTCATCTTGGTATACATCCCATTTCCAGACTGCAAGGCTATAAAAAAGGCACACCATATTGAATTCTTTCCAGAGCATTCTCATGTGAATAACACAGTCCACTCAGACCCCCCCTGACTTTTGGATGCTCCATAGCATTGAGTGTTACAGAGGAATTAGGATGATGGTGAGGATAATCCATCAATAGCCAGTGACCAGATCTACAGTATTCTTTCTATAGATTTCTTGTCTTTGCAAGACTGATTTGATTCTTCCAAAGGTCCAGGCAAGAAGCCAACATCTTCTGTAGTCTTAAACCTCAGACTTAATAAGAATCCTGAAGACCTGTTCTCACTGAAACTGTATTTGCATTTTATCAATGGCTTGTGTTGATGAATAAATGTACTATGACATTCTAGACTTTTTATGAGATAGGATTGATGGAAATGGCCAGAAATGCAATCATATCTAGTGATACTTATTTCCATACATGGTTAATATAACTCATCTAACTCCTATTTTGTACATGAAGGACTTAGGACATAGATCAAGGACCTCAAGTATCTTGTCTAAGACCACACTGCAAGGTGGTTTGGGACCCAGAAATCTGGCTGTAAAACACTTTCACTTAACCTGATTTTTTGATGCCTTTGGCATGGTATAATAGTTAAGCTGGTAGAATAGTGTAACATGAGGGGCCTGCTTTATTGTGGTTTCCATCCTGCCTGGTTTCCACAGTCGTTAGATTCCAAGGAAAATCACACAGAGAGTCTACATTAGGTTATAAACTGATTGGCCCATTAGGTCAGGCTTCTTCTTAACTCTTATAAAGTATATTAACCCATTAATCTTATCTGTTAGCCACATGGCTCAGTACGTTTTTCAGTAGGGCAGGTCAGATCCTGCTTCTTCCGTGGTCTGGGCACCACTGCAAGAGAGCTTCCTTCTTCCCAGAATACTCCTGTTCTCATTGCCTCACCTCTACTTCCTGTCTGGTTTTCCTGCCTATACTTCCTGCCTGGCTACTGGCCAATCAGCGCTTATTTAAAATGTAATTGACAGAATATAGACAATTCTCACGCACCACAATAGATGCTTTTGCTTGTTAAAAATATTGGCAAAAGCTACAAAGGAAACAATGATTTACTAATAACATGAAGAAGGACCCATGTTGCTAGTTGCTCACAACCTGGATCTCAACAGAAGAGAAATGAGGTCATTCTGAAAAGGAAGCTTTTGGTTTAGGATAAAGGTAACTGTCTTATTGTGTTCTGACTGCTTGAGTTCCTAAGACCACATCAGAATGTTTTACTTAAGTATGGTGTAAGAGTTCATGAGCTCTGGGGAGTAGCGGTTCCTGCAGTGGCGACATCAGAGCTCCCAGGGGAGGGCGCTCCAGCGCCATAGCTACTGCCGTAGTAGGGGCTGGCCTGGCGGCCATCATCCAACAGCTCCTGGGCGAAAGGGCTTCCCTGATCAAAGGGGCCTGAATCTCCTAGATCCTCTTGGAAGGCCATGCCATCTTTCTCCAGCAGTTCAATGATCCAGCTGAGTTCATCTGACGAGCTGGAGGAGGCTGGCGGAGGCAGGAAAGGGTCACTCACCATGAGGTCCCGAATCAGGGTGTAGAGTTGGTCTCCCAGAGGCCCAAAGACCAGTCTTAGCTCTTCAAGGGCACAGCTGCAGAGGGTGGCCCCGTCCATATCGCATCGCGAGAAGTCGATGGAACTGGCGTCGTACTTGTTCTTCTCCACTTGGTAGCTGATCCAGTCCAAAACCTGGCTCTTTGATCAGAACTGGGGCTGCTCCCCTGACCAACTCGCCTTCTCTGGACCTCCCAGGGACATTTGGGGGTTGTTCAGTGTCAACATCAAGTCTTCGGCGCCAAAGGTAGTCGATGGAGGAGCGGGAGCCAGGGCGGGGTCTTCTGAACTGTACATGGCGTTGAAGTAGTTACTAAAAACGTTGCTGATCTCACAGGTGGCTGCCATGAGGCCCCCGAGAGTCAGGGTTCGATGTGGCAGGCGGGTGAGCAGGCTTCTGAGGCCACGGGAAGGGAAGAAATCTAGGCGGCTGAAAGGCTCAGCCAGACTCCGGTGGAAGTGACTTGGACCTGGATCTCACTGATAGCAAGGTCTTCCCTAGAGATGGCTTTCCTGACTATAAGAAGGGGGAACCCAAGCACGGGAAGAGGAAACGGGGGCGCCCCAGAAAGCTGAGCAAAGAGTACTGGGACTGCCTAGAGGGCAAGAAGAGCAAGCATGCCTCCAGAGGTACTCATTTGTGGGAGTTCATCCGAGACATCCTCATCCACCCTGAGCTCAACGAAGGCCTCATGAAATGGGAGAACCGGCATGAGGGTGTGTTCAAGTTCCTCCGCTCGGAGACCGTGGCCCAACTCTGGGGCCAAAAGAAAAAGAACAGCAACATGACCTACGAGAAGCTGAGCCGGGCTATGAGGTACTACTACAAACGGGAGATTCTGGAACGGGTGGATGGCCGGCGACTCGTCTACAAGTTCGGCAAGAACTCCAGCGGCTGGAAGGAGGAAGAGGTCTTAGAGAGTCGGAATTAATGGTCAGGACTGGACCCAGGACCTGGCTCAGACACAAACTTGAACTGAAGCCTTTCTGGAAGGACAGGCAGGCCGGAAGGCCCCCTCAATGTGGATGTGTTCCCTGTGTTGCTGTGGAGAGGAGGAACCCGGAAAGTGTGTTGTATCCTGAAGTGCCTGTGGCCTCTCCTCTCCCACCTTTTGGAATTACAAGCCTCAGGGTTTGAAGTGACCCGATCGCTGACTCTACAGCCCTCAGCCCTCAGCCCGGGACTCCAGCTCCTTCCAGTCCCAGCAGAGGAGACCCACCTGCAGATGCCTGGGCTCAACCAAGGAGGCTAGGGAGATCGTGGGAGGAGAGTTCAGGGGCAGAAGGGACAGGGTTGTGTTCTCCAGCCTTCCTTCCTGAACTGACTTCCTCCTCTCGGCCCAGTACTCAGGCTCCACAGGTGGGGGTCCGAGCATCCCTAATTTATGTGCTATAAATATTCCAAGTGTACATAGAGAGCTATTTTTTGTAAAGCATTCCCCTCCCTGCTCTTCTCCCACTGGGTGCTGCTGGCCAGATTGATTGTTCTAGGTCTCCTAACTAGACCAGCGTGAAGTGGGGTGATGCCAGACCCCTCAAGATGGGGTTCCTGGATCCCTTTTCCTGTGAATGGAGGCTTAGACCTCCAATAAAGTGCCTTCTAGGCTTTTTCTAAAAAAAAAAAAAAAAAAAAAAAAAAAAAAAAAAAAAGAGTTCATGAGCAATATGTTCAGTCTAAGGACATGACTTTTAACAGTCGAGAGACCACTCTGTGTTGGCTGAGATAGAAACTTGCTCAGTACAGTGTACATTACCGGTTTCTCATAATTCAGAATTCCTCAACTTTAGCAAGTACGGCCTGGCGCATCTCAAACCAAGACCAGGTAGAGTCAGGTAAATGGTGAAAAGCCTTGAAAATGTTCCAAGACAATAACCAGAGCTACTTACTTCACTAGGAAGAGAGCATCAGCCACACAGCTCTTCAAAGCATTTGGGCCACACAATTTGTTAAGAGTCGTGTCTGATAGCAATTAGAATATTACTCCAACTAAAATGCCTTAAAATATCCAGATTTCCAAAAATACTTTTTAATTATCAACCAAAAAGGTTGCTCACACAGTTGCTAACTAGAAATCTCAGCTTTGTGCGGACTTTTCATAACTCATGTTAGCGCATACTAATAGGAGATACTAACAAAAAAATCTGAAAGAATAATACCTGAAATGAAATCTGTAAATTCCATATAATGCAGCTGGAAAATGTTGAAAAATAGTTTTCAAATGGATGTGTCTATGATCCCTTGATGTTTGTAATTGTTCTCTGTCTTTGGGATGATGCCACAAAAAACATGAAAGCTAATAATCTAAATACCTGGTTGACATCCACAGTGGGATGCACCCATGGAGAATGTAGAAAATTTTAATGTAATCAGAGAGGTGACTCCTGGATAACCCCAACAAAATTTCTTGTGAGTCAGCTATGCTCACATTTCTTTGAACTATGTCTCTCCCAAGGGAGATGAAGCAATTGCATAGACATAATGTCTTACCCTTTCAGTACAATGCAACCCGCATTCCTCAATCCATTCATCATCATCCATGGTATTTGTGCACGGTGCTGTCATGCAGAGCTAGTTGCCAGCAGTGATTAAAAAGAAATCCACACGGCTCTATGTTCAGGAGACAAAGTAAAACCAATTTTCACCATGTTTACTATGAAGGCATCAAACCATTAAGGGGAAAATCCCCAGAGGAGCTCCTCAATGAGACTCTCTCCATGAAGACTGTCTCCAGAGACCCGAGAGGCAAATGAAGTGATTATCTGTCACTCACAATCTCTCTTCATGAAATCGGAGTCCATAGGGTCGGTCAGGATTTCACTGGAGAACAATTTCTCTCTCCAGGCGCTACTTTGCCTACCTCTTGCTCACTGATTATGAAAGCCTTCTTTTTCTCTGACTTCCTGATAGCCTGCTTTTGTTCTCAAAACAAATAAACCCAAAGATCCCAAACACTCTATGATATCATTACTAGAGACATCTCATGTGGCATGTATCCTATCTAGCACATAAAGATCCTGTTACATTCTTAGAAAAAAAAGAGAATGTTTTAAATCCAATCTCCCCTCTTCTCCCAAGCCCTTCCCTATCCATCTTCCTTCCTGTCTCTTCTTTGTCCCCCCCTTTCTCTTCCATCCTCCTCTTCTTTCTTTGCCTTCCCATGTTTACATTCAACACGAAAAATTTAAGATCACCCAGTTTCTGATACTGCTAGCACAACAGGACTATGGCAGTACTTGCAATATACCTAGTCCCACCGGATTCTAAGCATATTACACATACTGACTCATTTAATCATCTTAACAATTTTCAGAGGTGGGGATAATTGTTAATTCTCTATAAACAAACAAAACCAAGGCATAAAGAAGTTATATAATTTGGCAGTGGCCACATAAAAAATGAGGTCTAAACATTTCAAAGGCCATGTGTGAATCAGTGTTACACACCATTCCATGGAGAAAGAGATTGAGGAATAGAGAATTAACATATACAGGGCCCCTAATTCATTCCAGCTCTCAGGCTATGGGTTACTTAGTTAAATCTGACCAACAATACTACACATCAGACACGATTATCCTTTCTTTAATAAATAAGATTAAAATAACCTTTCCTAGGTAGACTGATAATCTGTTAATTAACTTATTCATGCTAAAACATAATAGATTATCACCTGATACTGGAACGTATCTAAGTGGCCTTCATTTGAAGTCATGTCTTTGCCATTTAGTTCTTGTTCATTCTGAGACCCTGACTACCTGGACATGCTAAAGACTTCAATTCAGCCAGTCAGGCCTACAGCTTCCTCTTACTACTCTTAAGAATCCATTCTCTTCCCTGAAAGACTTCCAGGACATAAGAAACCTCATCAGAGTCCAGGTCCTACTTCTGAGTCTGATTTGTATTACACATTTTTCTTTATCAACTTTAATCCAAAATGGTTGATAATGAGAAGTTTAAAGAAGAACCATATGAATTATCTTATAAGACTTACTCATGGGATTACATGAAACTGTTTTCATACAGTAATAACACAAATGGTGCCATTTCATATAAATCAAAATCATTTAAATTTTCTTATTACCATTTTAGTTCCACAATTTATTTAAAAATAATTAAGAACGTAGGGTATTTTAAAGGCAAGTGTTTAACTGGCCTCAAAAAATAACTGTCGGTATATTTTATATAATTTTATTTTTCATGTAAATGATAAGTGTGGATCTCACAGCCCCAGGACCTACTGTCTGCCATACTGGAATATCTTTTAAAAAATTAAAAATGCTGTGCTCCATGAAAGAGAAAATACAAAATATCAAAATTTATAAAATGCATTAAAAGAGCTGGAAAGGAAAAATTATAAACCTAAATGAACAAAATGCTTAGTGTAGAAAATAAAAATAGTCTCAAGTCAATACTCTCATTTCCCATATTAAGTAACCAGAAAAACATTAGCAAGATAACCTCAAAGCAAGCAAAGCATGAAATATCAAAGATAATAACGCAGACCAGTGAACCTGACAGCAGAAAATCCATAGAGAAAATCGTGAAAGAAAGGTTGTTTCTTTGAAATGATCAATAAAATTGATTAACCTCTAGCAAGATTAACAACAAGAGAGTGTACAAATTACATATATCAGGAAGGACAGGATCTACTTACCTAACAGACATCAAAATTACAGCTAAAAAATGTCTCCCCAAATTTTATATACATAAACTATACAGCAAGTTAAAATGAACCAATTTCTCCAAAAACACAAATTGATACAGTTCCCCCAATATGAAACAGGTAATTTGAGTGGCTCTATAACTATTAAAGAACTTCAATTTATAATTTCAGTCCTTTTCCCAAATGGTTTTTATGCTGAATTATTTCAAATATTTAATTAAGAATGGATGTCAGTTTTCTACATACTCTTCAGAAGAAAGAACACGTTCCAATTCACTGTGTGTGGTCAGTGCTAGTGACTTCAAAATCTGTAAAAGTCATCCATCCAAAGAAACAAACTACAGTGTCTCTCAACATCACATACACAAAAATACTCAATTAGTATTTAGTCCATTAAAAATAGCAATGTGTAAAAAGAGGCCATGAACAGCAAAGTGGGATCAATTACAAGAATATACAAGTTTTGAAAAACCAGTCAGTTTAGTCTAGTACACCATCACCCTAGGGAAGAAAAACCATATGATCCAATCAGGTGGTACAAGAAAGCAGTTGACAAATTCAACATTCAGTTCTATAGAAACGCAGCAATCTTAGAATGGATGGTAATATCCTTATTCTTATAAAAGTCATATATAAAATGTCTTGGTTAACTAATACTTGATGAAAAACTAATAGTACATGGTAACCTCACCACAGAAGACACGGGACGCACTTCAAGCTGAACAGAAGGTGTTTACTTGCCAACTGGAGGCTGTCAGGGGAACGTGCCCAAGTCATGCAGCCATGAGCCTTACTGTTCTTGGATTTTTATAAACAAAAACCACAGCCTGGTTGACAGACAGCCTCCAATTAGCGGGAACTGTTAGCAATAAGCAGAACTACAAAAACAAAAAAAGCAGGGTTAGTGCATTTAGGGACTTTTTGTAGAAGTATGGGCTGTGATGGATTAGGTCTTAGTTTTCATTTTGGCAGATGTTAGGGTCTAAGTGCTGAGTTTTTAGGTAAGAATGGTACATTGGTGTCTTTAACATGCTATCAGTTGAATTAAGAACTGGGGACCTGTTGCATTCCCCACTGATTATATGGGCATGAGTCAAATTGTGGATTCATCGTGGGGTAGGAGGTTGTATTATTCCTCAGTACTAAAACAGAGTTTGCTCTCTGTTTCACATAGTTAAGCAGGTCTTGAGCCAGCAGGGTCCTACAGTGTGAACTCGGAGCAAATGACGACTGGCCCAGCAATAGCTGTAAGTAGTGTAGTTAACTAAGGGGAGCAGGGGAGCAAAAACTGCTACGTTATTAGGTTCTTGACATCTCTTTTCTCTCTTCTCAAGGTTATTTCTGACCATTGATAAACTTTATCTAGTTACCTCTAACTGGTTGGCACAGAGGCAACAAGTTTCTCCCACAGCCACGCAGAGACCTCCTGGTTTCATGCAAAGGTCCAGACCTCTGTGATTCTGAAGAACAGCCTCTGCTGATGAGTCTTCCCGGGCACTCAGGAAAGGAAAAGAGGTCTTCCTGATATACTCGGGATTGGGGATAGTGCATGTGTGTGTGTATGTGTGTGGGGGCATGCTTTCTTCTTCTTTAGGCCTCCTCTCACCTCCTCACAAACAAGGTGACTCTGGCTATGGGGGCTCCAGGAAGAATTTCCCTGGGACAGAGGCAGTGCTTCCCCCTCCACCATTCACCCCACTACCATTTACCCTCTAGGGCCTGGTGGAATTTGACAATGCAAAGTTTTAGAGTTTGGTTATAGTTTTGCTCAAAAAGGTTCCTTTAAGAAGGGAAGAAGGGGTATACTGAGAGTAAGAGAGGGATTAGAGAGGGCATGGGGTGAATATGGTTGAAATAAATCAGGTGCATGCATGAAATTGTCAAAGAATAAAAAAACAGAAGGGGCTCATATTTGAAGGCTTGATATCTAGCACTTTTATGGGATGATTGCGTTAGGAAGGTTAT